GACATGCTGCATGTAGAGTAAGGTTTCCTAGAAAACAGTAATGTTATAATAAATGACATTATAAATGATGTATATTAATTTGAAAAATCATGAAATTTAATTATGTTTTTATATAAATTTTGAGAATATATATTTACATGTATAACAATAAAATAGAACTTTAAAACTTTTCTTGATGCAAAAATAACATTGTTTAAATGCAGTATTTTTTTGTATTACTTTTTATTAATGTACATAAATCTTTAAACCTAAAAAACAATTGTGGTGTCATCATTATGTTAATTGTAAATTATTTTTAATCTGTTTCTACCATGCATTGTTTTATCAATGTATATAAATAAATATTTTGATGTACATTTTTAAATTCTGGTATATCAGTAAAAAAAAAATTCATCTTAAATTACTAAATTAAACTAATGTGTACATATGTAAAATAATATTATTCATGCTTTTGAAACACATGAGTCCGATAAGTCGTTATGTAGTGTATATTTGCATCTGCAGCTCTCCTTTTTCTATATTTTGATTTTCAATGACAATAAAGAGTGCTTTCAGTCATTTTAATATGGGTTTACATCCTTAAATATGTAAAATATGTAAAAACTTATATTATCATTAACAGCTAAAAAACCTTGAAAACCCAAAATATTGTCAATAATTCATATTAAAAATGCAAATTTATGATTTCTGTTAAGAGGGCTATAAACATTTCAATAATGAAAATCTTTAAAGCTCTTTTACCAATGAACAATAAAGTAGAAATATACTCACATTAAATTAAATTGATACTCTCTAAGTATTTTCCCCCTAAAACTAGTGTGTTGCGTCTTTTTTCAGTGTCAGTATAAATAATTCATTTAAATGTCATTACTGTGTTCCATAGTATTAAATTGTTCATGATTTTACTTGGCGGGTTTAAAACATTTTGTCAGTTTGGGTGAGAAAATAACAAACACTTCAATAGCTCGAACATTTATTGTACTAGTGTTCTTCATAAAGTATAATTGACCAGACTTTACATCTATTCTGAGATCCCAAATTGGTTCAGGAAGCCATTCCACCCAAACAGCATACTGATCCAGAACTTTTAATTATATATTAAGCCAAATAAATGTGATAAATGTAAAGAATTTTGAAATATGTACCAGTGTGGCAGATGTTACTAAAAGAAATCCAACAAACCACAAAGAGAAAAAAATCTGCCTTTGCTGTTTGCATTCAGTGAGGCACAGAATATTACACTTAAAGGGTATACCATGTAAGTCTTAAATAATGATTTTCATTGAAATAATTATCTGCACGAGGAACCACCAAATAATACATCTTTTGTATACCTTCCACACAATTTCGTTTTATTTTAACGTAATTAGGCTTGCACTGACACCGTTTTCTTCCCTGTAAATCCTGTAAACACGCGGCCCAATTATCATGACCTTGACATTGGATACTGTGACGACAGAAACGCCCAAGTGCAAGGTGATCTGAATAAAAAAAAAGAAGTGAACAATAAGGACATACGCAAAATACCTTACCTACTTGTAATTTTTAAAATATTATAGACCTTTATTACCTTCATTTTAAGATTATAGTGCCATTAGATGTTTGTAGACAAAAAATCATCATGCATTACCAGGGGTTTTGAAAAACATAAATTGATAAAAGTTGTTTATTATATAAAAGAAAATATATGCAAAAAAATGCTAAACATATATTTTCGGCGTTTTGTTTATCCAAACTTGTTTTAAAAGAAACCAATGTACTACTGCATATATAAACATTAAAATGTAGCTCAGAGTTCCTTCACGCATTTGAAACTGTAGGGAAAACATGATAAAGTACAACTTACGTTTCGTATGTTTTTAATAAGCAGAACCAAAATATTTCTTACTTTGTCATTTTTTGTGCTTTGTGTGTCTTTAAAAATCCTGCTATATTTTTTTTAATGATTGTAGAAGTCTGATCTTAAATATTGTTACCTTTGATACATCTTCCATTCCATTCAATATATCCGTGGTCACATTTACAGATTCCATACTTTCCCATTTCCAAAGACTTATTAAATCTATTGCAAAAGAGGTGGTGTTTAGAAGAACAGTGACTATTACCTAAACACACAGATTCAATGTCTGAGTTTTCTGAAAGAAAAAGCAATGCTTAACTACAGAAATAAAGATAAAGAAATTACACACGTGATGTAAATATAATTTTTTTGAATATTGCACTGCGCTTTCTCCATTTTGTATAAACATTGAAAAATTGAGAAATTAAACAAATTATACTTTAAAAAAAATAATTTATATAACTAAGAAAATGAAGGCATAATTCAAGAAGCTTAATCTGTTGACTGTTCTGTTCTTACCATTCACGATTGATGTATTGCAAATAAGCGACAAATTATACGTGCAGCTGTCGTCATCTTTATTTGCACATAATTCATAGGAGTGGATCATCCTTTTTGCATCAACTGAGAACTGTATTTGAATATTATGTATTGTACTATTATTATCCCAATGTTGGCAGTCGGCTCTGGTAGGCAATAATCCATAGTAACAAAGGTCTGCGCATTTTTGAGTATTTTCTAAATGTATGGAAGTACGTTTGAACTTTTAAAATACATTCTCTCGTACAGTAAATTATAACAAATAACAATTTAAATTAGTTATAGGAAAATATTATTTTAATGAATAAATCTTCGAACTGAAGTGACTTAAGAAACCAATAATCAAAAAAAGAATTAATGATACACAGGTTAAGTACTTGTCACAAGAAATGTATACGAGAAATATAAAAGCCTTTGCACATACTGTTCAAGTTATGACCAAGGTTAACTTAAAGGTCAAATGGTCATTGCTTTAGCAACCACAATTTCTTTTCTTTTCTTTAGCATTAGCCAATAGTTTTTATATTGGCGTTTGTTAACCAAAAAAGTAAAAAACAAATTACTGGAAATGGCGTTTTAATGCATTTAACAGCAACTGAAAAATTAGATATACATGTATATAAATGTAATATACGCATGCATATATACATGTATCAGTTTTTTTAACTATAAAATATGTAATCTAATGTAACGAAAATCAACAACAGAGAATATCATGCTATATCAGTTGGGTTAATACAAAAACCAGATATGTCATCAAAGCAAATTTTTGTCAGATTACTTGGTCCACTTCCTTTACATATTTCAGATTTAAAATCAGGATTCACCTCGTTTGATAATTTAGAAGCAAGATATGAGAATAGTATGACTTCTATCACAAGAATGATCACAGTTACAGTTAAACATACTCTGTCCACAAGGAACGCAATGCTTTTCCAAGTTGTCTTTGTGTAAAAGACACCATTGTTTTTAACTTCTTCGTTATCGACATGTTGGTCTCCACTCGTTACTGTTGTGTTATTTTCAGTCCGATGATTCGTTTCCCCTTGTTGCCTCTCAACTTTTCGAGCACGTGTTTTATGTATTTTATCAATAATTCGTTGGAATACGATTGGTATTGGTGTTTGTTCGTGCCGCTGGTTAAGCAACGCAGTCAGAAAACTGGAAGTTGTTATGAAGGCACTTAGCAGGAACTGAAACACCAGAAAATAGATCACCCGAGGAACTGGGTTCGAGGTTTCAGGAATAAGTCCAGCAACATAGATAAGATACACTGTGAATGATAGCAGAAGGGCAATACAAAAGGACAGTCTATCTTCTGGGACGGCTGGGATAAAGTAGACAACTATATTTAAAATACTAAGAACAAAAAGTGGGACAGCGATATTCACAAAGAGAAAAGAGGGTCTACGAATAAGTTTGACAGGAAAAACGAGAACGCGACGCTCATTGTTATGTTCTACTCCATAACGGCTTGGTGCAAGGTCAAGGTCACATGGTGCCATTTGAAAATACATCCATTTAGCATTGTCATTGAAGACTTGGGATTCCTTGTTTATGTTTGCAATTAATGTAGAAGTTACAACAAATTGGACGGAACATTCGTGTTCGTCAAAAGGGAAGTCCTTTAGGTTCGGTTTACAGTAGGTTTCTGTCTTCAGTAAGCCGTCATAGAACAGCATACCAGGGAATCCAAGAGTGGCCTTGTCATTTTCTTTTTCTTTGAATATATCCATTTCCTTTAGAGGATTAAATAATTTTATGTCTGGTGTCCAGATGTCTTTTATTTTCATCTGTAAGTAATCAACTTTTAAAGCGTATCCAGCCTTTTCCTGAAATACGGAGAAACTATCGGGATCCCAAGCCAATCTGACGTCAGACCAAAGCATAAAAAGAGAGGAAAGAAGTTGGAGGTCTCCTGCAATTTCATCAAACTTTTCTAATCTTGAAATTTCAAACCGTAATCCAGCGCGCGAAATAGGGTCGTCTGCTTCTTTATAGCCCGAGTTTTTGTTAAACAGCATATTTCGAAGGAAAGAAGTAGCATTCAAAATTTCGACTTTTTCATCTTGTTTAAAATTAAATTTTTCACGCAGGTAACTCCCCTTTGTGTACATCATTCTTACCACCATCAGAAAGAAAACTATCTTGATGTTACGTCCTTTCATTTTACAAAATTTTCATATCCTTGTAATCTTGATTCGGTGACACACAATACGTTTTTATTCACTGTGACTTCGTAGTCTTGTTCATCAATGGCTACACATGTTACGCGGGTACCATAGCTCACTACCTTAAGGCAAATAAAGTTGACCATTTTCCCATAACTATATGAATAAAGAGATTCGTTTTTAAACTGAGGCCTAGCGCCTGCAAATGAATCCTTGAAATATTAATAAGACTCAGGACACAAAGTGGAAGCTCAAAGCCGTAATGTCGACTTTAATAATAAATCGACTCTCTGTGGAGTGGTTTATTTATAATGAATGTGATTCATTATTTACAAGTACTAGCCTTAATTATAATGGGGCAAACATCCTGAACTACACTGGAATATAAAACAATGAAGATTATTATCTCAAGCAACCACGTACGATTTAGATAATTTTCGTTTAAAATTTAGAAGTAAAATATAATCCTTACCTTGAAATCCCCTCCATTTTAAGGTTTATCATCAGTAATTGATTATTTGATGAAGAGGGGGGTCGGGGGGCCCCTCAATCTGTTTAAAATGAGATCCTTTGATCCGCTAACATAGATCGCTACACAAGGCAAGGCCTTGGGAAGCGATGTATGTGAGCAGAACAAATAATCTTATCTTAATCAGATCGGGGTCCCAATTTAATTGCAAGAACTATTACTGTCAACGACTATATCCACACCCCCAAAAAAGAATTTAATAGGTTTTGGAAGTGAGTTTAATTTTTTGTGTCATCGAGAAATTTATGCATGGGTTGGTAATTTTTTTTAGTACTAGGGACGTTCAATAAATAATGTCATCGGTGCTCGGAAAGAAACAAAAGACGCATTTCTATGATTTAGTCTTAATGATTTCACTTAAGTATTCTCTTTTAATTAAAATACATGTCCGTAACATTTTTATTTCATTTCTGATTGTTTTTAGAAAACTCATTTTTGAGTAAGGCCCTTCATATACTGGAATATGGCAGATCCTATGATTTCCTGTACTTGTTTTTTTTTAATTATGAAAGGTGTTTTTTTTTTCAAGTTTTCGAAATGAAACAAGTCAAAAGTTGAAAGTTCTGGCCAATATTGTTGATGTGACAAACATTAACTATCTTTTTACCCAGAAAACTCCTTTATTCTTCATGGTCTATGGATTTGGACGCTGTTATAAAGAAATTAAATGTAATGAATTCCTCATTCCGGCTCCTTCCTCACATAAACCTTTCACTTTTTTGCAAAATATTTGCTTTTTAGACTCTTCCTGAAATTGAAATTATTCCCCCAATAAGAATTTGAAGAACAAGACCACTAATACCAAAATTTAAGAAAATAGCATATAAAACTGTTTTTGTGTTCTTGCAATTCTTTGCTCTTTTCAGGCCTTTGCTGTTTTGTCAAGTGTATCTCATTGTAAATTTGTTTTGAGGGTTTAAAAGAAAATGGATTCAAGTTTCATAATCTGTTTGAGTTTCAGACAAACGTGAATAAGTACATTTTTTTATTTTCTAAAATAATTATTTAGATATTTCTGCACGCTGTCGCTTTCACTCATTTTTCAAAATATTGGGTGACCTTTGAGTATTAAACTTTTTTCTTATCAAATGTTTCTTTAAACAGTGTGAACTACTCCCAAAATGATGACTATCAAATTTGCTATGTGTCTTAAAGTCAATCAAACATACTCTGATATTTGTTGAATTTTTGCAGATATACATTGGATGTTGTATGTCCTTGTCGAGAAGGACGGTATCCATTTTTGATGCCCATTATATCATTTTTGTACACTGAAACCCACTTGCTCATGTGTTATAAAACAGATATTGGTTGCTGTAAATTTCACATATTTCAGTTAATATATCTTCGGGATTCTTAGCAAGTTTTACAGCAGCTTTAATGAAGCGTTTAATTTCACTCTAGTTTACCGATTCTTGACTATTCATTTTAAATGCAGTGTCTCGAACAGCCCTTGTTTTTCAGCTTCTTACAATGGAACGATGTGATGAAAAGTGGTCACATAAACTGTAATCAACTCATTAAAGATTCAATAATTAGAGAAAGTCAAGCTTAATGTCATATTATGATTCCTATGTTGCATGTCATCGAGCTGATGACATTATTTATTGAACGTCCCTTGTAGATTGCCCCCCAACGACAAAAACTCCTCGATCAGCTATATTTTATCAAACATCGCAAACATGAAAGGAAATGCAAGAATTTTTAAAATAAAAAGTAAAACTTACAGAAAATTTCAACGTGTTTGCTCTGCTTTTTGTATTGTCTTATGAACTACTGATCTTCAATACTATTTGTTGCTTCCATATGTTTCATCTATTGACTGCGTTCTCGGGCAAAATGCGTTTTGTCTACCCATCTTATTTAACCAAACTCTTTGAACCATTTGGTTCTTGGGTCCGACAAAAAGCATGTTGTCAACAAAACCTAGTCAATTCATGTTAGAAAACCGGGAAAGCATTATTGAATAATTCCAATTCTATTTGCATTGTTGGTAGTCGAGGTCAAAGGAAGGCCATTGATAAAGCAGTTTTCAGTAATTCTAAGTCATTTCATACAAGACTATTAAAACAACAATACTGTCGTCGGCGTACAAAATATAATGTAACAGTATTTTAATTAGTTCAAAATATCTTACGTTTTCCTGGCTTTTTCCATTTTTTTTTTATAATTAATTTAATGTTTTCCTGGCACGTAAAATATCAAATATCGGTGAAAAAAGCCTTAAAAGTCAGGTATTTTGGACTATATTTAAAAAATACGAGGGCTGTTCAATAAATAATGTCCTGAACTATATGACATACATTACAGATACCATATGACATTAAACTTGACTTTCTCTCATTATTGAATCTTTCATGAATTTAAAACAGTTTATGTGACCACTTTTCATCACATATTTTCATCTTGAGAAGCTAAGAAACAAGGGCTTTTCCACTGCATTGAAATTGAATGGTAAAGAATCAGTAAACTGTGTGCTTCATTAAAGCTTAAACTTGTTAAAAATCCCAATCAAATATTCGCTGAAATATGTGACATTTACAGCAACAAATGCCTGTTTTATAGACAATAGAGCAGGTAAATTTCAATAATAAAAAATTATATAATGGGCATTAAGTGCTACATGATCCAACAAAAATTATAACAACTTATGTACTAAATTTCAATAAATAATATTTGATGATGCATGATTGACTTTAAACACATAGCAAATTTGATAGACATCACATCTCTTTACACTGTATTTAAGAAACTTGACGGTAAAAAAGCTTGATACCCAAATGTCACCCTATATTTTGAAAAATGAGTTAAAAAGACAAAAATTCTTTACAATTATTTTAAAATATCAGTAATTGTAGAGTTTTATTTTCAAAAAGATATTGGAACATGAATATATTGCTTAAAACCCTAAAACCAAAACTTACATTGGTACTTTAAAAACAGAATGTCTGCATTGAAAAGTGCAGAACAATACAAATTTATATGTAATTTTCTTAAACATTAGTGGTATTGCTGTTCAAACAAATATTCGGAGAGACAGTTTAATTTCTGGAAACATTTTTTGCAAAAAATCAAAAGGTTTATTTTTTTTCCACTACAGAATTTCTTCAAGACAGCGTCCAAACCCGCATACCCAGAAGAGTAAAGGGGTTTATATTAATGTTTTTTCACATAAACAATATTCGCTATCATGTTTGACTTGTTTCTATTTCCAAGCTTAAAAAACCTTTCTTTTCCTGCCATTTTCCAGTTTTACCCAAAAATGAGTTCTAAAAACGGAATTGGATCAAAATTTATCATATATTTACTTCCAAAAACATTAATGTTTAATAATGAAGACAAAAATTGAAAAGCGTCTTTTGCTTCGTTCTGAGCACCGAGGACATTATTTATTGAACAGCCCTCGTAACTGTCTATTATTTTGTTTGTGTGGCTTGCGAGACACCGGGGTAATTGTTATCACGAAAGCCAATATATTGATCATCGTATCGAAACCATAAAATTTGAGAGTTATATCTGATATTTACATGCTCTTGATTCCGCAAATTCACGTGCTGCAAGCCCCGCTTCTGTTTCTATTTTCCCACCCCACGTGATTTGTTAACCGCGCCTATACTCATTATGAACCAGTACAGTAATGTAGGATGTAGAAATTAAGTATTTTTTCTATTTGTAATTTTATCTAGGAGTACAAAGACATTAAAGACATGTTAAAAATGTAAATATTTACATAGATTCTACAGTACTTATTTGTTTTAAACACAAATACCTGTAGCCCTTTTCACAAAAATTCTTACGATTAATTTCTATTATTATTTGTATGCACACTGGTTATTGCTATTAAACGCCAACGGCAACCACTAAAAGTTAGTCTGGATGACTATTTGTGACGTACCGGTAGGTGTAACACGTTTTCTTAATGTCCTTCCAGATATACTTTATTTTAGCAAACAAAAATTAATATAAAACATAACTAAATACAGTCTTGCTATTGGTAATGATATACTATACGCAAATAAAATAAAAATCATGATTAAAAAAAAGTCGGGGAGGACATTCTCCTCTCCGAATATCGCTTATATTTCAAGACAGTCTCTATGATCTACTCCAGTTAATAAATACATGTACCGTATAAGTGGAAATTTTACCGAGACGCAAATTTAGCGATTGTTCTTATATTTTTAGCGAAATGCAATTTTAGCGTTTTTAAAATGCTCAATAAAGAAGCTATTACAAACAAAACACGATTAATTTTTAGTGATATTCAATTTTAGCGATTTCAGCACTTTCACTAACAATTCAAACGCAAATACATGTATTAATGTATGTTTAAAATGTGTTTTATCTGGGGTGTATTTGGTGAAGAAAGCTTTTTCTTAAGCCTTGATCTAAATGGTTGATTTTGGTTTTCTGTAAATTTTACGCCTAAAGATTCAGGATACTAATGTTGTAAATGGTTTGAGCGAATTAAAGAATTATCTTTCTTCAGTATGAAACTATTTCTTTATGGAAATCATTATAAAATGAAAAAATCATTGATCATATACATGCTTTTATTCAGAGTAAACACAAACTAATACGGAAAAAAAATTATTACCCCTGCATAAAGAAACTAGATGTACTGTAAGCAATGAGCTCACTAAATGCTTTCTCTGCCTCCTATATGATTATAAGGGAACGCATGGAGACAACAAACAGTACTCAGGATCAAAAGTCAACAAAATAATACAAAACAGGATCAGAGCAAACATGGACCTCTAAATCATCGGAGGTGGGATCAGCCGCGCGCTCCCTGTCCTGCTCGAGAGGTTACGGAAAAATCTGTCGTTAATTCAGTGTATAAATAATGGACTAACAAACAGTATGAAAAACGTCACTCAGCATTTAACTCAATAATGAATTGCATTTGCTGACAAGATTATATCGACCATAACACTTACGAAATGCTGACTTTGGTGTTCTTGTTTCATCAACTTGTTTGTCAATAATTTACCCCGTTTAAGAAATTGTTCATACGTAGAGTATGCTCTTGCGTATCGAAGATATATTAACACCGTATGCAGGTGATGAAGGTTTATTGCTGAATAAGTAAGGAAAGATGACGATAGAAAAGTTAATGTCCTCACGTTTATCATAGAGCTTGGTTGTTACATTACCATTAACGTCTCTTCAAGTAAAATATCCAAATATGAAACAGATGTGTCAGACTATGTGGCATCTTTTATCTCAAGCTCACTAGTATCGACATAAGAATGGAAAATAA